ACACCAGCTCAGTTGTGGGGCCTCTTCAGCCCAGCAAAGCCACATCTAAGGGACACCCACAAGAGGGACAGCAGAGGGGTGTCATGGCCCATCAAAGGGCCCCCAAAGAGGTCCCCAGACCCTGCACCAGTGCTGCATGTGATGCAAAATGATGCAACAGACACAGAGTCATGCAAGGGACATGCCTCAGGGGAGGCACCTAGGCATTCCTACCTGTCCAAACATATATTAATCCATGGGATTCTATAGTTCTGGATGGGGACCCTCACCACCAAGAAGACTAGACTGAGGGGAGTAATGAGACATCATCGGGATGCACAGAGAAGAAATATGTTTCTACTTAACTTGCCTCTGTCATTCTCCCTGTCCCCCCAAACACACCTCCCTCCCTTCCTTCTTTTTTTTACCTCTTTTATTATTAAATAAAATGCATCAGTTTTTCAGTGTCAACATCTAGCCTTGTTTGGTTTTAACCAAGTTTTGGGGAATATTCAAATGTTTCTGGGTTCGTTCTGCTTTGTTCACTGAGAGTTAGTTCTCTTTACTCCTCTTGGATTAGAGCAGATCATAGCACAGGCATAGAACCAAGCTAACGAGAAACTTCATTCTGCTTTAGTGTCATATGATTACCAAATAAAACAATCTGGCATATGACATTACAGAATAATCATTTGTAATTAGATATTTTAGTAGACACCAGAGATTTTGTTTTCTTGAGTTACTGGGCCTCCAAATCTTGAAGGAGAAGAATCCATCAAAAAATTGCTTTTAAAATGCTTTATATTCATTAAGATGTTCTTATTAATAGCAAATAGTCAAGCAACAGATTCACCTCTTGACTTGTGCAGTTCACCCATATTCACTCATAATCCTCTGTATGGAGCCCATCTCAGCTGTATGCTTGGAACTGGAGGACAACATGGACATGTCAACGGCTCCCAAGTCTGGAAAGCCCTTCAAAGTGTGCTTTAGTTCTCCAGGTGCATAAACAACCCTGGGGTCTTCACCTGCACACAGCAGTCACTGCCCTCCTGGCAATGGCTCAACTACACAACCTGTTGGTGCCAGTGGGCCCATGGAACTCTTGGTGTCTGGGGCCATCAGCTCTTGCAGATTCAACAACATGTAAATTCCATGGGGTGTATCAGTCTTTGAGATCATTTTAAACACCACCTTTTCACAGGACTTTTTGTTTCTTCAGAGTGCTGCTTTCTGGTCAGTATTTCTCTACCTAAACCTACAGAAACCAACAGAACCCAGGGACAGAAACTTGCACAGGCAGGGCCTTCACATCACACAAACAACCCCACAAAACCCTCTCATAACCCCACACTTGGTATTTTGAAGTCGCACAGTCAATGCAAGAGTCAAAGGACTGACTCAGCACGCCCCAGTGACCCTTCAGGACTACTGAACCCAGGCTTGATTCTGAGCTTTACAGGCCATCATTTCTGGGCAGATGTTGTTGTCCACTTCAGCCAATGAGAGTTTTGTGGTGTTGTTCTAGACACATGCAATGCTAAAATATATCAAACTTAAAAGCTAGAAAGGATTCATAGAGCCACAAGAGGTTTAGCCATTTAGCTTCCCCTTTGGAGCATCTGTGTAGCTGATGGCTATAGAATTCACAGTCTTCATTTCTAAATTCTAGAGAACACATTTGTGAAACTTTAAAAATGTATCTCAAACTTACAGGTATCCACTGAATTCCTCTGATTGTTTACGCCACACAGTTGCATCTTTCTGAAGGAAAATAAAAGATACAACGTTAATTGTCACTTGCATGCAAGTGAAAGAAGTCCAGAAAGTGCTTCAATTTTCTTGAAGAAAAGCAGCCAACTTCATCATTAGCTGAGGTTCACCTGGGCACCACTGTACGCTTTTCTAAAGATTTTTCAGATACCTTTTACTTATAATTTTCTATTATTTAAAAAAATAAGAAATCAGCTTTCTCAGAGTCAAATGCTTGAAGTCTGTGCAGAAGTATGGTTTGGTAGGCCAAGCCAGTTTACTGTGAAAATACACAGAATAATGGAACAACATTAGCAGGGAAAGCCTTTCAATTGCAATGCCATTGGAAAGCCAACAGCTGGATGCTACTCAGACAGGAAGAATGTTTGCTTGCACCCCTGTAACACAAGTAACAGAAGAGTGCAGGAGATGCAGGCACAGACAAGAAAGTTCAATTGCCTTTCTCTTCTAGATGCCTAACTAGAATAGTCTTGCAAGCTGTAGTCTATTTATTTTAAAGTTACACAGAGAAAATAGAGAAATCTTCTGATTTTTACATAACTGTGAAATGGAATCTCTGTACAAAATCTCAGAATTTTGGTGTGAAAAGAGTACCATGTACCACCACTTTATTTGGAATCATGATTATGATTATGATTATGATTATGATTATGATTATGATTACACGGAGGACAAAATATCCTAAAGAATAGTACTATTAAGTACCACATCCAGAATAATTTAAGGTATTTTGGGACACAACACATCTCCTTGTGGTAGATAAAGCTCTGAATGTCTTCTACATGGCACAATACCAAAATGGAAAGAAAGGACAGAGGAAGGAAGGGCTGGAGGGAGGGGTAAAATCTGAGGATTTGAAACACAAGGATGCAGGTAACTTTTTAAAGGAGTACACTAGTACTTAATATAAAAACACAGAAATACTAATACAGGAATAGACAACATTTAGTAGGGCAGAGGTGGTAGAGGTGTATTGCAAGAATGAAAGGCTTGGGTGGTCTGCTCTTACTTCTCCAGACAGTATTTGTTAATTTTGCAAATAATCAAGTTACATTTTAATCACTTGCTTCTGTCTCATCAATGTCTGCTCATGATGGAAGAAAAAATAAAAGCCCTACTCAAATCACTGTAACAAAAAGACAAAGACAGAAATTTACCACACTAGTCCTATCATATTGCTACACTTCTACTTTCTGTGGAAGACAGCACTAAAAAGTATTCACCCAGCCTAGAACTGATGGACAAGCAAAGGCTATTTAGCTTGTTGAAGCACGACTCAAAAAATCCCGGCAGCTCAAAAGAACAGGATGGCAAACTGCTCAGAGAAAGCAGGAACGGTATTCCCTTTCATGGAAGGAAACCTAGGATAATATGTGGTCTCTAAAGCACAACAGAAAAGTGAAACAGTATGAGAGGAAGCCTTGAGAATGATCTCATTTCTTAAGAGGAAGACATTTGGAAACTGAAGCACGATGAACTATTTATTGACAAGAGATTCCAGAGGCTGACAGGCTGTGTCTGCTTAGTTTAAAGTACACTTTAGCTTCTTGCAATACTATCAATGCTAACACAATTTGTTGTAAGTCAAGGCTATAATCCTACACAGGTAGGATTCTTCCGTGAGACACACCCCAGAAAATGGGTAGAATGAATGACAAGAGTATACGAACACGAAAAATATATCCTGTCATCTAGAGATGCTCTAGAGGGCTGGTTTCACAGAGCCTGTCAGTTTAGAGTCCTGCAGAGCCCGGATACGTGTTTCTCAGCCGTGTGACACGGCACAGGGGGCTCTTTCCGCCGCCCCGGTGCCCCACAGCTTCCTGTGAAGCACGAACCGGGAAGCCGCCCAGAGCACTCACGGTTTTCTTCGCCACACGCCACTCGCTGTCTGCGATGCTGTGATACCGAACCAGCGTATTCCGTAGCTTCGAGGCCAGGGGTGCGGGATTGGGCAACGGATCCATTTGTTTCCCTCCTGCGCCAAGATGCCTAATCACACAGCAGAACAAGGCACGGGGTCATGGATGCCAACAACAGCGCGGATCATTCAAACCCGACCGGAAGATGCGGGAAACACCGCCGCGCGCACACACGCACATCTCCCAGCCAGGTTCGGGTGGCAGCGAGCGGCTGGCAGGGGCGCAGGGGCCCAGCTGCCGCCACCTCCGCCGCGCCGGGGCCGTCCCGGGATGGGCCGGAAAGGCGGGACAGGTGCGCTCACCTCACGGCTGCACCGCCG